AAAAAAAAAAAAAAAAAGTGTTGAAATTATATACATAAAACAGAAATAAAGGAAAGGCAAACATTCACAAGCAGAAAATCTATAGGTCTGGGTCAGTGCCTGTAGCTCAGTGGCTAGGGCGCCAGCCACAAACACCAGATCTGGTGGGTTCGAATGCAGCCTGGGCCTGCCAAACAACAACTGCAACCAAGAAGTAGCTGGGCATTGTGGTGGGCACCTGTGGTCCCAGCTACTTGGGAGGCTGAGGCAAGAGAATCTCTTAAGTCCAAGAGTTTGAGGTTGCTGGACTGAGAGTGACAAAGGGAGATTCTGTCTCAAAAAAAAAAAGATACACACACAAAATTTACCATTTAAAGTATGCCATTTAACCTACAATATTCATTTAAAATATTTTCTTCTTTTTCTAGATTAGGGACCCTAAACTGACAACATTTACACAAGGTTAAACAATGGCATCTATTTGAGTTATAAATGTAAGCTTTTCAGAATTATACTTTCAGAGTTATGTCTTCAGTTACGCCAACCTTTTAATATTTTATGAAGAATGTTCCTGAAGCAGAAAGAAAAAAAGCTTTATTTATTATCACAAAGCTACTAACCTGGTTTTTCTTGTGATTGTATCATTGAAGATACTCCATATCTCTCTTTAGCATAATCCTATAAAAAAAGTTTTTATATCATGACTTTTTCTGTAAAGACTAATAGCATAGTGAACATGTAAATACAAATAATGATATTTTATTAATTTAGAGAAATCAGTTTTATAATGTAGAAATCTGTCACTCATTTACATAAAGAAAAAAGAAAAGCACCCAGGTTTTTCGTTGGTTTGTTTTGAAAATCACCATTCCTAGATGGATAGACTACATTTCATAGCATGCTGATAAAATTTACACACACGTACAACACATCTTAACTGCCTTTTTCAAAAAGGAGATGAAACTACTTCAAAGCAGTAGAATAAACAGAGTATAAATTTGCTCTGTGAAGGGAGTAGGATGACGTACTACAGTTTTATTAACTTCCTATTACAGGAAGAGATGTTCAAAGAGAACAAAAGTTTGGGATAAGCTTTCTGAGCACCAGATGTCCACAGTTTTCAGAAATCAGAGATATTAGGTTTAAACTAACCACAACTTTCCTAAGGTAAAACATCATCAAAAAATTCACCAGCTTTCTGCTTCTAAAACCAGTTTCAGGGCACTGGGTTAGAAAGATTCCACACTGACGATATGATAATATCAGATTTCTTGTTACAGGTTTAGGGTTAGGAACGGGAAACAGAAGACCTAAGGTCCAGTCTGTTAACAAATCCCACTTATTAAATAGATACCCGGCCTTTTATTTTAGTATTATTTTACCCCTAAAATGATCATTTCAGATCTTTAGCTATAAAATGACATTAGTCTCCTACAATGTTTACATTATCTCTAGACCCCTGCTATTTGCCTGAGTGTACTGCTAGTTTATATAATTAATTAGATCAAAAATAATTTCCTTAGATTTTTTTCAAGGTAACATAAGATGAAACAATGAATTTCTTTTCTTTCTTTTTTTTTTTTTTAGACGGAGCCTCAAGCTATCCCCCTGGGTAGAGTGCCATGGTATCACAGCTCACAGCAACCTCCAACTCCTGGGCTCAAGCGAGTCTCCTGCCTCAGCCTCCCAAGTAGCTGGGACAACAGGCGCCCGCCACAACGCCTGGCCATTTTTTGGTTGCAGCCATCATTGTTATTTGGCGGCCCGGGCTGGGGATTCGAATCCTCCACCTTAGATGTATGTGGCTGGCGCCTTAGCCGCTTGAGCCACAGGGGCCCAGCCAAACAATGAATTTCTGTCACTCTACAGCTACCTGTTGAAATCCTAAAGATCTAGATTTTGCATGTATACCAAGGCAAACCAAACCAATACATGTAACATACACACATACGTTAACAACACATGTAACATATACACTTAACAACGTGCTTACTGAACTTTTTTCCAATATTAAAATCAATACACATTAAGGACAAGATAACCCAGGCTACAGTAGAGAAATACAGTTGTACAAGGAATTCAGCCCGAAGACAGCATAAATACATTGTTTGAACACACATACAAGGTCTCATCCATTTTAATTTGTAATTATTTCAAATCATTCTTATTTCAGCAACCCATTTGGTCTTCTGAGATGGCCTATTTCTTAGGTAGTTTACCACTAATTCAGAATTTCTCAATATTAAAATCAGGAGCCAGACAGGAATAGAGGTTTAATATTACTACACACACAGCACACATAACTTTGTAGGGTGGTTTCAAACTTTGATATCTGAACCGCACTTAAGTATTACAGGCTGTTACGAATTACTCACGTGATTTGAGGTCACTTCGCCTCAAATGGATCCTCTGCAACCATTCCTACCTACGTCGCTGAATCACATAAAGGAAATAAGTGACACGTGCTCTTTAAAGGTGTCACAGAGAAAGCCATTAAACACACTGGCACATTGTTACTTAACATAACACTGGGAACAGGAGGGCTGGGTAAAGATCGATTACTATCAGTCATTAAAACTTTCCCGGAGAGAGTGCATTATGTGAAGGACTTGCCCAGCCAAGAGAAGCTGGGGGTGGCCCCGCCGCTCCTACTTCCGGGGCAGTTAGTGCTTCGCGTCCACCAAACCCTGGGGACACGCTTCTGGAGGGCCAGAGCTCCCGGCGACCCTGTGAGAATGCGGTCCGGAGCGGGTCTGGTCCAGCTGCCAAGGCAACGGCCCTGGAGGGAGCTCTGGGAGCTAGGACGCCAGACCCGCGGCCCGCGAGGAAAGCGCAGACAGGGACCCCGAGGACAGGTCCCCTAGATCACTCCCCCTCCTCCCTCGGCGCCCGCAACCCAGGTGTCTGCTTTCCCAAGCCCGGGAAAAGAGAAAACCCACTTCCGCCGCCTCCATGACCTCCCGCGGCTTCTCCTGACTCCTGCGGCTGGCGTTGACGCTGGGCATCAGGACGCGAAACAGGGCAGTGGACACCACCCTCCCTCGTAGGCTTCCGTAGGACAGGCCAAAGGGGCTTTCTCCCTCCTGCACAGTCTCCACCCTCCGGGCCCTCAGATTCTCCTGCCTTCCAACACACGCGTTCGGACTCGGCGTGGAGGGGCGACGACAGAAAGATCGCGAGAGCCGCGGCTATCTCGAGATCCCGGAGAGCCGCCCCCGCGCAGCTTCTCTTCCCCTTTTTGCCCCGCCCCCGCGGGAGTTTTCCTGGAGTTGGCTGGAATTCCGGAGAATTTGTCAAGGTGTCCCGGGATTGGCTCTTCAGTTAGTCCCCTCTGCAACTGGTGCTTCTTTCTCCTTTCAGCCCTTTCAGCTCCTCCGGCTTTTGCATTCTGGCTGTTCACTAAAGCACGCATTCAAGGTCAGGCCTTGGTTTTTCGTCTCTGGGACTTTCCCACCGACGCTCTTCCCCAGCGGCGGTGTAGCTGCTTGGGGTCAGAAGAGGCCCCAACGCAGACCATTGCTTATGTGTGTTGGAACACAGACGTGAAATTGCCTTCTAAGGCAGCGTGGGGTACCGATAGTTACCTAAGTGATGAGTGACGTATAAACACAATGGCGGCAACAACAGATTCCACAGTGACCCAGGGGTCCTCAAACTACGGCCCGCTGGCCACATTCCTGTCCTGCTTAGCTGCCGACTTGTCCGGTGCCCACAGTCCGGCCCTCCGCCCTCCAACGGTCTGAGAGACAGTGAACTGGCCCCCTGTTTAAAAAGTTTGAGGACCCCTGCGCCACACAATTGCACTGATTGCCTGGATCTGTTGCATTTTAGGGGCAGTGTATAGTGTTGGTTGTCTAGTGGATGAATCTTCTATTAAATTAGGCTTTTCTAAAATCTAGAAGCAAATCCCATCTGTTATCCTTTTGCTAGTGTGGGAATCTCATCTTTCCATCTGTGAGGTGTCTTCAGGCACTTCTCCCTTCCTTTGGCTCCTTTCCTTGATAGATTATTCTTATTTAGGTCACAGCCCTGGAGGAAGACTACATTTATACTCTTCTGGCCATCATTCTTGAGAACCAGAAGCAATGACCACGTATCATGTGCCTGAGGTCTTGTGACTGCGCCAGTAGAGATACCACAGCTGCAAATGATGCTATGACTTAGTTGAATTTGCAGTAATCTGTTGGCAACCTCCTGGATCTGATTTCTGTAGGAACCATACCGGTAATAATAGGAATATGATGGAGACTACTGACCATCAAGTCTTTAAGAGTTGCACTAACTTCTGCCATTCCCCTTAGGGATATGATATTGTTTGTGATTTTTAGGGATCTGCTAATGGTAGCCTTATTCTATGGGCCAAGAAACTGCAGGGCAACAGCTTTGATGTGTGGTCTCAGCCACCTTGTAGGTATCCAAATAAGCTATGTATGCAAGGGCTTGAACTGCAGCTCATCTGAATCTTTTTTTTTTTTTGAGACAGAGCCTCAAGCTGTTCCCCTGGGTAGAGTGCCGTGGCATTACAGCTCGCAGCAACCTCCAACTCCTGGGCTCAAGCGAGTCTCCTGCCTCAGCCTCCCAAGTAGCTGGGACCACAGGCGCCGGCCACAACGCCCGGCTATTTTTTGGTTGCAGCCGTCATTGTTTGACGGGTCCGGGCTGGGGATTCGAACCGCCACCTTAGGCGTATGTGGCTGGCGCCCCAGCAGGTTGAGCTATAGGCGCCGAGCCAAGCTCATCTGAATCTTAGGAGAACACTTCATGATCGTGAATGTGAAAGGATGGGAGGCTGTCTCCCACTCACTTCCTGGTCTCTCTGGGAGGCTGTCTTAAGTATGGGACTTCTTGTACCCCTCCACCAGTGGAGCTGCAGAATGTAGCTTAGTTGGAGACAAGAGTCACTGTTCAGCAACAGGGTATCCCACAACTCAAGTTGTAGTCATTTGGTCCCTTTTGTTTAGGTATTGTCCTTTTAGGTATATGAGACAAGGATTATAGTGAGTTGACTATACCTTTGACTTATACACTACTTTTTACTGTCTATGTAAACAATCAATCTAAAAGTGGCTTTTGTTGTTGTTGTTTTTGTTTAGAGACAGAGTCTCACTTTGTTGCCCTTGGTAGGGTGCTGTGGCATCACAGCTCACAGCAACCTCCAGCTCTTGGACTTAGGCAATTCTCTTGCCTCTGCCTCCCGAGTGGCTGGGACTACAGGCGCCTGCCACAACGCCTGGCTATTTTTTTGTTGCAGTTTGTCTGGGACGGAGTTTGAACTCACCACCCTCTGTATATGGGGCTGACACCCTGCTCACTGAACCACAGGCACCGCCCATAAAAGTGGCATGATACAGCTTAACTGATGGAATCAATCAGGCCTTGACTTTGGCCTTTCATATCTCTGGTGTTCCTGTCTTGACAAGAATCAATGTGGGGCTTTACCAACTACCAATATACCCATTCCAATGGATACATTTAGGGATTAGGAAAATGACTTATGGGTAGGCCCATGGACTCGTTCAAGATTAGGTCTCATTTAGGAGTTTCTGTTAAGAGGTCTGAAGCACTGTTGCAATTCTTGATCCTTTGTGATTCTTTTCCCCCTGGAAAAAAGAAGCTTACAGGATGTCTGCTAAGTAGTTTACCACTGGTCCTTCTCTTTGTACCTAATGCTCTGGAATTTCATAATGTATGACAGCTTGTGGGCCTAAATTAACCATTGTGCTGCTCAATCACTGGGCCTTTCCATCTGGAAACTCATTTTGTTCTGGGGTATTTTCTTGAAAAACTTTTTGATGATTCTTTCTCTTCCATTTTCTTTCTTTCTTTCTTGAATTCTTACTATTCACCTATTGGCCTTTCTGAGTTGGTCTTCTAATTTTCTCTCTATTTTCCATTTATTGCCTTTTTGATCTGCTTTTAAGAGATTTCTTCAACTTTCTCTTATAAACTTTCAATTGAAGTTTTCTCATTTTTGTCATTATGTTCACAATTTCCTAAAGCACTTTTATTGTTCTTTGAGCGATTATTTCAAAGAATAGAATACTAATCTCTTAATATGTGTGTATAATATCTTCTAATCTTACTGAACACTAATATATTATTAATCACCTTATTAATATAAGGTGATTTTTTATGAGTAAAAATTTTATTTATTTATTTATTTATTTTTTAGACAGAGTCTCACTTTGTCGCCCTGGGTAGAGTGCCATGGTGTCAGCTCACAGCAACCTCAAACTCTTGGGCTCAAGTTATCCTCTTTCCTTAGCCTCCCCCGTGCCTGGCACTAAAGGCGCCCTTTATAACGCCCGAGTCTCGCTCTTGCTCAGGCTGTTCTGGAACCCGGGACCTCCAACAATCCACCTACTTCAGCCTCTCAAGTGCTGGGATTCAAGACGTGAGCCACTGTGCCTGGCTTGAGTAAATTTTTTAAAGTGTTTTCTCACATAGCCCATTTATTACAAGTGGCTTTTTGTTTGTTTTTTGTCTCTATCTTCCATGTTAGAGACCTTCCTTAGCTGTCTGGTGAATGCTTAACTGCCTGCTTATGTTAAAACTAATTAGAAGCTCTGAGCACTTGCAAGAGGGCATTTGTAAATTTTTATTTTACTTTATTTTATTTTATTTTATTTTTTGAGACAGAGCCTCTAGCTGTCACCCTGGGTAGAGTGCTGTGGCATCACAGCTCACAGCAACCTCCAACTCCTGGGCTCAAGTGAGTCTCCTGCCTCCACCTCTGAAATAGCTGGGACTACAGGCACACATCACAATGCCCGGCTATTTTTTGGTTGCAGCCATCATTGTTGTTTGGCGGGCCCAGGCTGGATTTGAACCTGCCAGCTCAGGTGTATGTGGCTGGTGCTGTAGCTGCTTGAGCCACAGGCGCTGAGCTGGCGTTTGTAAATTTTTAGTTTACTGTGTGATGCTTTGGTTAGGCTGTATGATGAGTGTTAGGATCTTTAGATCTTTCTCTTTGGCTGGTCAGATTGTTCCAGGAAAAAACTCTTCCGATCTCCTGCCTGAAAAGTAAAGGTCTGACTGCTAGTGTTCTAGGGATATTTTTTATCCAACATGTATTTGGTCATAAAATTCCCCTAGTTTTTAGTATTATTCCCCTAGTTTTGGTATGGTACTCAGCTCCCAAAGTCAAAGTACTCACGAGTTAGGAAAGGGCACCTGTCCAAAAAGTAGAGCAGGGAGGGATGCAAGGATCAGACTTCTCATGTAGCTTTCCCCAAAACCGTCTATGTAACTCCTGTTCCTCATCTTCATTTCTCCAGGTTCTTGGTACTGCTTTTCGTGAGTCTTTCAAGGCTTCTATGGTATAAAATAGGTTGTTTCTCAGCTTTCCTAATTGCTACCTTAGGGTTCAGCTTTTTTATATCTGCTAAGTAGATTACTACTTTCTAGATTTCCACATTTTGGAGATATTGTCTGCTCTCCTATTCTCCCATCCTCTTGATTGTGGTTTTTGTCGGATTAGGGGCAGAAGCAAGATTAGAACTGTCATCTTAGCACAAAAGTTCTTTTCATGTTTTGTTTTATAATGTCATTGTTTACAAGGTCTATATGTGATGACTCTAGCCACCAGAATCTTATGCATTCTTTCAACAGGTATTTATTGAGAGCTGACTATGTGCCAGGCATAGATATTTGGGATATATTAGAGAACAAAGTAGATAAAAATCTCTGTTCTTGTGGATCTTATGTTTTAGAGGATGAAGATAGATAATAAATTAAATACAACTAGTGGATTATATAACATTTTAGAAATTGATAATAAAAAGGAAAAGCAGAGCAAGGTGAGGGGAATGAGAGTGCCAGGGAGTAGGAAGGTGGGGTGGTTGCAATATTAAATATGGTGATCAGGGTAGGGCTTCATGGAGAAAGTGACATTTGAATCTTTGAAGGCAGTGAGAGATTGTGCCCTTGTATACGTCTAGGGGAAGAACATTCCAGGCAAAAGAACAGCCAATGCAAAGGCTTTAAGATGGCAACGTTCTATATCTAATGCAACATCTTTAAGGCCTTTGGAATATATAGGGTTCTTTGTCTCTGTTCTGAATGATTCTGGTTTGCCAAGTTTTTCTTAAAAAAAAATTGTGTTAAAAAACACATAAAATTTACCCTCTTAACTTTTTTTCAAGTATACAGTTCACTAATGTTAACTA